TCCAAATTTTCTTTTCTATCTCAAAATCGTGTATTTTATTCTTGATTTTGAAGGAGCAGTTAATTGTTTGTTTTGTTGAATAAAATTTACTGATTTTAACATCTTCCTATTGTATGAATATTGTTTTCTCTAAAGTTTTTTGTAAAGCTTTTTTGATGAGTATAGGTTTTGATTATGTTATTTGAACACACTGGTAGAGAGTTAATTTCTTTAATATTGTAACCACTCTCTTTTTCTACTAACTTTCCATAAAATAAATACCAAAATTATATTAGTTGCTTCCAAAAGGAAGGTAATTTTTTAAAGTTAGGTCTGTTTTCTATATTTAACAATAGGATTGATGGGTGTGAATTAATTTTGTAAAGAGTTTTTATAGTGTGGTTTATGTGGTGAGTTGTTAGAAGTTTGAGATTGAATCATAAATTTTAATATAAGGTTTTGGATTGTATTTCCAAAGGAAGAATACACAAACCTCCCAATTACTTTGATAATTCCGTTTATTTGTGGGACACTTTTCTAATATTATTGTTACCTAAAAATCTGTATATTATTGAACGAACTATTTTAAAAAAATCTTTGCTATAAGATACTACATGTGCCATGCACCACATTTTTGATAGCACAATTACATTATTAGGATTACTTTATCAAATATTGAAAATTTTCTGTCTTTAAAGTTATCTACTCTAGATGCTACTTTGTCTATTATTTTGTCTTAGTTGGATTGATAGCAAATCCCATTTGTGTTAAATCAGACTCCTGAGTATTTATACAGTGTTTTGGTATTTATTTTTTTAAATTTTAGAACAAGGTTAGAATTTCCAATATTAAAGTATTCCAAGCTTTTTGTGTTTATCTTGGCACTAGATTCTTTCTCATGCAAACCTATTACTGAAACATATTTGATCAATGTTTTCTTGTGAATTTGTAAATAGTACTAATCATTGGAGTGTGTGGGAATTTTAACTGATGTTTTGTATTTATTTTTCCTTTAATGTTTTTTCTGATCTTATTTAATAATGGTTGGGTTATGAGATTCAGAGCAAAAAAGATAAGGGATCTCCTTCTTTTAACGATCTTTCCATGTTTTTTTCCTCAGTAGCTCAGTGTTTCTATCATTTGAGTTTTCATATTTTTTTATATACTAGTAAGTAGAGATATTATTTCAGGATCTATTTTCTACATTTCCAGTACTTTCCACAAAAATATTAATATTTATCTCTATTATTTTTTGACAAAGTTAAAGTGTAGACTACATTAAAATTAATTTATAAAAGATTAACGTTATTTTGTCACCAAGGTTTTGTCTACCCTTATCGAACGAGAAAAAAATTTTTCTTTACGTACCCGGATGTGTCTAAAAGACACTTTTCCTTTTTTTTACTAAATAAAATCTTTTCACTTGCCTACTACCATTCAATCTACACCAAATTTTTTTCTCATCAAGCTCATCTGATTTTATTTTACTTTTATTTTATTTTTGGCACAAAAAATACATGAATCTAACAAATTTTAGAATGACTTTGGAATCTTCAATTCTTTGCATTTTTTTATTCAGATTTTGACCTTTCTGAATTTGTTTCAAATTAATCAAAACTTTTAGTCAAGAGCGTCTATATTTTAACCTTTATTTTTTTTAAAAAGAGTAAGTCTCTATGTATTTTTGACTGGATTCATATTAAAAAGTAAAGATCTTTTTAGAGAAAAAAACAAAGAAAGTTAGGAACTTAACTTTATTTTCTTTATTTAATAATATATAAACTATACCCAAAGGTGTAATAATTAAATCCTAATTGGAATCAGTTTCATCATTACATTTATTCCAAGTAATCCTTTTTTTGAATTTTCTTTGCAAACATGTTTAAAACATAAACAACACTCTTGATAAGTGTTTCTTGAAATTGAAAAAGGGCAATAAAAACGTCCAATTTTTTTATTAGGTCCAGTACTGCTTTCAGTTGATGGTCTTTTTAGTTGATTTAAATTCGAGTCATAAGAAAGAGCTAAATTTCTGGCCTTAATTCAATATTGTTCTAAACCCTTATTAGGTCTTCTTGATATTTGGTCCTTTGCCAAGTCTAAACCAACAGATCTTAAAAATATTTTCCTTTTTGAAGTTTTTCGACTACTTTTCTATTTTGAATAAATACTGTTCCATATTACATATGAAGCAACACCACTTATATCAATTAAATTGTGAAAAAAAGCCACTGGCCATCTGTTTGTGCGTTTTCTTGTAGTATATCCATGAGCTAATTGATCCATTGTGTCAACTCCAGATTTGATTGAATTTTAATAAAGAATAATTTCTTGTTTATTCCTATTTTCTTTGTTAATTTTATTGTCCCAATGCATAGTTGATAATAAGGTAACTGCTTTGTTTTTTAGTAACATAGGAAATAGTTGTTGTATTTTTTCTGAATCCAAAAAGGCTTGATTCTACAGTCCTTTCCTTAAGTTTTAAGAATTCTGTAGGAATATAAACTCTATTATTTCTCAGAGTTCCTACTATTGTAATTCCAATTATAAATAGATTTATTGCTAAATTATAACCAGTAAAAAACCCATTGACAGTGACATTTTTTTTAATTCTTTATACTCAGTTCAACGTCTCCAAAAAAATTTTGGCAAACTCATTTAGCTCAAACAACAGTTTTTTGTTCCAAATACGGTATTTCAATTAATGGACACTTTGTTTTGCTGTCAGATGCCCAAAACATTTTTAATTTATGCAATCTGGCTACTGGAAAGAAACTGGCAAAATTTTTATCTTACCTTAAACGGAATCATCTGTTCATCAACTGTTATTTATTTACCTGAAGTGCATAGTGTTTTAAACTTGCTGTTAAACATATCCCAAAGTTTCCTGATTGATGCCAATATGTCCAATTCTTTTCTGGCTTGTCTTGTGGCTTTATCATCAAACCCAAGGCAGCTGGATATAGAGCTAAATCTATTTTTTCCCATAGTGGCCGTAAAAACAGGAATTCCAAACATTTTATTCTAGAAATCATCGGTGTTTGATCTCGAATGTTTTGAAGTTCCCATTAATAAAAGTAATCTAATAAAAGCCTTTATTTCTTACAATCCCTTTGACATTTGTTTTTTCAACTAAAAGTTTATAAACTTTTTTGTCAAAGTATAGCAAAAAGACATTTATTGGATCCTCAATAGAAACCCCATCTGGAATATTCACTTTAGACATTTCATCTTTCAATTTATTGTATGCTAAAATTTATTCTAGTTTTTGATGTTTTTGTTCCATTCTTATCATAAAAATTTTTTTCTGTTTCTTGTAAATTGTCCGGATTTTTTTCAATTTGAATCTCAAAATCATCTTCATCACTAAATTCAACATCTATAGTTGGTTTCTCCATTTTATTACTGTCATATTCCTCACCAGTCTCTATATTTTGAGAAAATCCGTTATCAAAATCACTATAATCTTTAAACTCAACATAAGTATAAGCTGATTCTAGAGTTTTATTTACTTCAATAGCTTCTAAGATTTCTTGAAAATCTTGATTGTTTTTCCATTTTTAATTGTTTTTAAATTTTTTAGAATAAATCAGAAAGTAATGTTGGAGTAATAAAAGTGTTTAATCCCGTAGAATAGATGATATACAATAATAACTAGAAGAAATTTTGAAAAAATTCAAAAAAGATTTGAAAAAGTAAATTTGGAATAAATGTTAGAAAAAAAATCAATTCAAAGTTTATACAGCAAGGATATTGTGGATATTTTATTTAAAAGATATATTGATTGAATTGGTTTTTAATAAAAAAAATAAAGTTTTTTATATACTTTTCCTATGTTAACTAAATATTACTAAACTTAGATATTTTAAATTGATACAAAAAAATTTCATATATTGATACATCAACTATATTATATGTAATATTGGTACGTTATTTATTTGAGGGTGCTAACAATAAGATCCAAAAATATATTCAAAATAAGGATGTGAGGTGGAGAAAAAAGAAAAAAAACTGAAATAATTAAGTGTATTTTATGTCTTTTAGATACTTCTGAGTGAGGGATTTCTTTTTTGAAATCTCGACTTACCACTACTACCCACTATTTTTTTAAAAGAAAATTCACAAATAGATTCATTTGATCCAATTTGACAAGCTCGTAAAATT